AACATGAAACAGATCAGCAGCAACATGAAACAGATCAGCAGCAACATTACAAATAGCCACAAATCATATGGCATGGCTACAAAGTCAATCATTGATCTACGACCTACAGTCTGTTCAGTAGTTCATGGTATATTTTGCTAACAGGCAGAGTTGACCCTACTATTTAATGCTAACATTTTAAAAAGTGATGTTGGGTAATTATTTAGCACACGTAGTTTGTGTTGCTTGTAATACTTGCAAAACCGACTGAATTAAACCCATTTTTGTGTTTGCTAAGTTTGCTTAGCTGTGGGGGCCATCTTAAACTGAGCTGACTCCATAAGTTATTTAGATGTAGATAGGCATCCAGTGATTACTTACGGAGAGTTTGATTCAAATCTGTCATGCGGTTGATGAGATCATTTGCTAACAGAAAAGACAAACAAAACAGACAGACACAAGCAAAAACATAATGGCCCTTTTGCCTTCAGCGACAGTCAATAAATGCATAGCAAAATACATTAAAAACAGTTAGTTAAACTAAAGATAAATACATTGTGACATGAAGAACCTCAGTAGCTTATACTGTATACTTCACACAGTTATAAGCACTTCATCAGAACAGGCAACCCAGTCATCATGTGAATACTCTGATTCTCAGGGTCAAAGGTCAAGGGAACAATACACTCCTTCTGGGAAAATCTGTACAAATAAAAGCTGTGTTTATCATGCTGAGCACTCACTCTTCACATTACTGCCATGCTGACCAATTCACGTGACCACAGCAGTCTGAGTCCAGACTGATTCCCATCAGCAACAAAAAGACTTTGTGTTTATCTCACAGGCTCTCGTTCTGGAAACCCATCTGGCCTTTTTTCATGGAAGGAAATCCATGAAAATATGCTTATTGTTGCTAGACAAAACAGCTCATTCACATGGATTAAACAACGAATTATAGTGCTGATGACTCAACAGGTAGTACAGTCCCATTACAATATGCTCTGCTGAGTTTATGTTGGGCTTTTTTCTGTTGTTTCTCGAGTTAGAATCCATCCATTTTCTTTACCCGCTTATTCCATTTTGGGTCATGGGGGTCGCTGGTGCCCATGTCCAGCGGTCGCTGTGCGAGGGGCGGGGTACACCCTGGACATGTTGCAAGTCCATCACAGGGCCACATAGAGACAAACGAGACAAACAACCATTCACTCTCTCACTCACACCTAGGGACAATTTAGAGTTACCAATCAGCCTAACATGCATGTTTTTGGACTGTGGGAGGAAACCGTAGTACCCGGAGAAAACCCACGCATGCACGGAGAAAACATGCTAACTCCACCCAGAAAGGCCCCTGGACCGGGGTTTGAACCAAGGACCTGCTCGCTGAGAGGCAGCAGCTCTACCAGTTGCGCCACCGTGCTGCCGAGTTAGAATCATAAAGATCAAATGAGATAAAGAATTATATATATATATATATGTTCATAGTCATATGAACATTAAAGGGAGAATTTGTGTACATTTAAAAAATATGTTTTTTCTTTTGTTTAAAATATTCTTTCAAGAGTTCCCTTTTTTAGGGTCATCCTCCTCCATCTCACTCGGTCCTCTACATCCTCTGTCCTCACTCCAACTACCTCCATGTCCTCTCTACGTGCATCCATATATCTCCTCTTTGTCTTTGTCCTGGCAGCTGCATTTCTAACATCCTTCTACCAATGTACCCACTGTCCCTCTTCTGGACATGTTCAAACCACTGTCCCTCCTCTGAACATGTCCAAACCATCTCAGTCTGGCCTCTCGAACTTTATCTCCAAGTTGTTCAACCTGTGCTGTACCTCTGATGATCTCCTTCCTATCATGTTTTTGGTAGTGTTGAACCCAAGGTGCAGACTGACATGAGAGACTCGAAGATAAATAAAGAAAAAATAATTTATTTTAAAAAGACACAAAACATAAGATGTGGTGGTAGCTAAATTTACTTGTGCATAGGGAAACAAGGAGGAGCAGAACATGACACAACAGGCTGCGGGAAGCACAATCCACAGACCACCAGGAAACACAAATTACACTGAACCTAAAGGGACACTAACAAGACATAATGGTGAACACCTATGGTGAATGGGATTGGGAACAGGTGGAGCAGGAGCTGGCAACATAAAGGAAGAAATGCTGGGGAAGGCAGGAAGCAAAAGTACATAAACACAAGAATAAAAAAATACAAAAAAGAACACAGATTCTCACAATTCCTATTCTTATCCATCCTTGTCACTTCTAAGGAGAACCTCAACATCT